GATTAAAAATTATATTTAAGGATCAAATGATTCAAAATTACTTCAAATATAAAATTGAATACTTAACTATTAGCTATAGTCTTTATCTATACTGTATTATATGGTGTATAATATATTATATTGTATGATCATTTAAATTTCAACTATGATAAATATGAATAACTATTATAACTATAGGCTGATTTTTAGAAAATTTGATTATGATTTATATTAAAGATCCAATGTATTTACCTATATGATTTTTGTAGTTTTAAATTAGTCTTATCTAAATTACTAATATTACTTCTAATTTTTTATTAGGTATAATGAAAATTTACTATTTAAATTGCTATAAGTATGTTATTTTATAATTTGTTCAGAATTTTTGAAAATTAAATCAACATTAATATAAACGTTTAAATAGTTCTCTATGTGTTTCGATATTTATAAATTATAAATATACATTAATGCCAAGTAAAATGAAACAAAAATCAATGACATTCATAAAATATTGGCACATGGTCTATTTTCTTGGGATTTTGGCAGATTTAGTACTAATATTTAGCAAATTTGAGGTCATATATCACTGTTGGCATTCATTCTTTTTAGATTTTAGCTATTGCACATAATATTTGTCTTTCATCTTTCAAATATCTGTAATATAAATATTATACCAAATAAATTATGCATATGATATTTTTTTAAATATAACATTAAATAAATTTAGTAATTGTCAGGTACTTATGGCTTATTAAATATCAGAGTAGACTCATTGGCACACTCAAAAATAAATAGGGGTAGAAAATGTTGAATCGGTTACCTCTATAATGGCTAATAGGCTAATGGCTATAGCCTATAATTCAATAGTTTATTTTCAATATTGTTATACAAAGTAGAATTTTTATGATGTAAATAATTTGGAGCTAGGGGGTCCACCCACCCACCTACCATAAAAATCAGGGGTAGCAGCTGAGTAGATTATAAATGATGTTCAGTATTAGCTATTAGTACAGAAAAAAGATATTATCAATGTTTTATTTTTTTTCAATTGGCATGTATTTGTAGGTTTCTATACTATATTAAGTTGATATTATAGACAATATTTATTATACTGGTTTTGCTTGTTAGGTTAGAATTTTCTCTCTTTCGGATTTCTTTGTCATTGTTGTTTTGATAAAAATATTAAAGTTTAAAATAATAAGGAAACCAATTAATACTAAATCAGAAAAAAATGAATGTATATTGGATATTTAATATTTATTGTCTGATGTGTTCAATTTATTGTTTTATTTTATTGCATTGTATAATTTAAATCTTCTATTATTTTGTTCAGTTACTATATTTATATTAGCATACAGTATTTATCACCTCCCGTTTCTGTATGTTTATAATTTTAGTAGGTTATCTAAATTTGAACATTTTAATATACTATACGACAGTTATAATTATTACCTATTGGATCTATTTATTTTAGAATCATTAGTTACATGTTTTAAATACATGATATTAAATTTATCAATTTAAGTACCTACTTAGATAATAATAAATAATTGTAATGTATTGTGTTCATGATATTAAATAGTGTTAGCAGTTTCTATATAACATTTTGGAAAAATGTACATTTTAAAAATGTATGGACTTTATCAGTTGAAAATATTTCATACTATATACATGATATACATTGTCTAGTTTTTATTTTATAATTTCTTTTATTTTCCCGAGTTATCTAAAGCACGTGCCAATTAAATTATCTACTATATTTTTTTTACATAAATATGTATATAAGTATAATCTTGTCCTCTTAAATGTATCATGTGACTAATTTGGTCAAACACTTAAGAACACGCTCATTACTATTTTATTTTATCTATTTTTTGTACAAGGTTCGTGATTTTCTGTAACTAATTTATTTTATTTAGACACCAGTCGTCAGAGTTATAAGTTGTAGGTTTCATTTATAATTTATATTTGAAGCTATTAACATTACATTGCTGTTCAATATGTGCTTTGTAAATTCTTCTTTATTTGTTTGTGAACAAAAAAGTCATTTAAACAATAAAACCGGTGAGTTATATATAATACTACATAATATAACACTTCATTTTTTCCTTGGAGCATTTTAAATATAATAACAAATTTATTATTATTATTATCGAATTATTATTAACTAAATTGTTCGTCGAGTATTAGATATATTTTACAAGGCATTCGGCATATTATTTTTAGTAAATCATAATTATTTTTTTCCCCCAATCAACGTTTTGCTTCACATGCCATTAAGTGGATATAAACCATAAATCAGCTTGATGGAAGATATACAATTGGAAATATTGCTGGGGATTAACACCATCAAATATAATTATATTTATTAGTTTATTTCATTCAAGTTAATGTTTTTTTTTTAAATATTCTGTAGTATTTCGACATCATATTTTTAAATTTAAAATACTAAAATTCTCTTTTTAATAAATTTAACTCAACAGTGATTTATTTATTTTAAACTTTTTACATTTATTATTTATTTTTGTTGATTTGTAAATGCTATTATTTTTGATAAGTTGTTGGCTGATGTATATTTTTTTTCTATACATATTAATAATTGGAGTATAAGAAATACTGTAGATTATCTCATACCTCATATTATGTTGTATCATACTATTCATACTTGTGTGTTGTTGTTAGTCCTATGTTAACATTTATTATTTTGTTACACATGATCCTTTTTTAAACACATTCGATTTAGTGAAACTTGTATTATACACAATATGAAATATAGTTGTTTTAGTAAATACAACCAATTAAGAGGATGCCCCCACCCACTTTTTATAAGAAAATTTAATAAAAATGTTAAGAAGAATTACAATTTTAAAATCTTAAATATATTTAAGTATATTTATTAAAAGTATTTTAAAAGTGTTCACATGTCAATACAAAGTACCAACAATGGCTATTGCATATAGCATATAGAATAATAATAAGGTTTTATAGTTAGTAGGTTTTGCTCAAAAAAGAACCATTTAAGTTACTGTTATAGTTAAAAAAACCAAATTCATATACAACAAGAATAACAATATTTAGTGTGTAGCAGCGATTTTATTTTGATATCATTAATTAAAAATAAGTTTATTTTTGTTGTAATGCTTTTTTTAATTTCAATAACTTTTTTACGTTTATGATATTAAAAAAAAATAATGTTTGATAGAATATATTGTCTTCTGTATTGAGTATAAATTTGATGACTGTAACCTAAATGGCGTAATGGTTTTCATAAACAATTTATGGGTGTTTTTAATTAGAAATCACACTTCAGTTTAAATAATCTATCAAGCATATTCTACCTAAGTATGTTATCATGGATAATGTGTTTCAATCAAATAAATAAGAGATCTCTGGAATTAAGATAAATATTATAAATATATAATGTATACCTAATACAAGTATAAATAAATGACTTAAAACAATATAGACATTTTGTACATCTTTATTTTATTAATTTACTCGTGCTTTTTCAGATTAGGTATTATTTCTTTTAAAGTTAATTGCTTAAATAAAAAAACTAAATATTTTTCTTTATAGTTGAGTTTGATTCATCAGTTCTAAATAAATTTAAACTCAGGAGTGTTATAATGACACACTTTTGACAATTTGTCATTGATATGTTTAAGACATTACTAATCTTCAAAATAAATGTGAAGAATATTGGTTTTTTGTTAAAAATCCTTATTTTTGTAAATTGTATACATTTTTAATAATATGCAATTTTATTTTAAAGCCATCTTAAATTTATATTCCAGGATAATATAAATTTAGATATACGTGTACAATGTATACTTGAATACCAAGATTTGTTATGACTATTAAGATGGTTTCTTTGATCTCTTTAATTATAATTAACAGTCAAATATTTCACTAAAAATTATTGGTATGCAGATATAACTAAAATGTAATTACTAAAATAATAACTATTTGTAGGTTTTTCTGTCTACTATAAATATTGTACTGAGTTAAAGCAATATTATTTATTTTTATATTACAATTTTAAATGACAAATAATATATAGCCTTTTTTACTATATTATAATATTTTTTGAACTATGTAATATTAAATGTGATATTTTGTTAGTTAAAATTACTAATAATATTTTCTATAACCATTCTATTAATAAAGTAATTTTTTTATTTACTACTAAAAGTATAATATATTTGACTAGACAAATATTTCAATTATAGAAATATGATATTATGTTGGATGTGCTATTTGTAAAGAGATGTCTCTTTACAAGTATGCTGACATTTAACAATGTATTTTTGTTTAGATAAAGATAGAATTAGGTTTGAAACTATTGTACCTATTTATAGATTCTAATATAACTTGAGCTTGTACTTCAAAATAATCACTTATAATTGTGCTAATAATACCTTACAAATTATTATCTTATTTTTTTTTTTTAAACAATATAGTATACTTTATCACATCCTTTCAATAAAAATCCATATTATATAATATTATATCAGCAGTTACTAAATGTAAATGTCAGAGGTCATCAAAACCACTTATTGAGTAGTTTTATCATCAATTGTATTAAATTATTCTAGAAACAAATAACAACACTAAAGTTGTATAAACAAATTAAAACTCAGATTATCATTATAGCCATAATTTAATTGAATTGTATTTTATCAATATAGTCAACTAAATTATTAATAATTTACTTAAATAAACTATACCCCTATAGTATTGATTAGTATCAGTTACGTAGCCATGATTATTACATGGGAGAAGGTTGGGGTTAAGTATGAATTAAACTAAGTTTTTTACAGTTATCGTAAATAAATAACCCGGAGAGGGGGCTACGCCACTGATTTGGTATAATATATAATTATATATAACACTTATAGGTTGAACTATGGTACTGTTTTATATTTGAATTATTTAAATAATTGTATATTATAAGTAATAGTAATACATTTTATTATAATTAATTGTATATAATAAGTATACATTTCTTTTTATGTTTACAGAATTATCAAATTTAGTTTTGATGCGCAACAGTACATTGGGGCAGTCAGCACCTTCCTTATCAAATAGTTTGGTGTGTGAATATAAAATAATGTTATACTTCTATTTAATTTGAAATTTAATATGATTTTATTTTTTATTTTTAGAGAGAATTACATGTTGCCGGGTCTGGAAGACGTTCAAACAAGGCTAGTCATAGAAAAAGCTTTATATCAAATACATCACCTACATTACCAAGATGTCATTCTCCAATGTCAAGTAAATTGCTTATGAATAATATATTTTTAAATGATGTCTGTTATTTAACGTATTTGTTTTAATTATTTTAAATTCAGGTAGTCCATTAGAAAGCCCTAAAGTAGTTCACTCTCATCCTCATTTTCCATTTGTTTCAATAAAAAGGTAATTATTGGTGTAATATTATATAAATAATCTTGATGATTGTTTGAGATTTTCTTTGATCTAATTTGTAACATAATAATTTTGTTTGTGTTGTTTATATCTTTTAATATTTTGATGTATTAATAATGTATTCTAGGCCGTATAATTTACTCACTACAGATTGCCGTGATGGAAGAAGGTGGTCAGTTGCTTCATTGCCATCGTCAGGTTATGGAACCACTTCTGGAAGTTCAAATGTTTCAGTAAGTGAAAATTGTGTGTCTTGTATTTGCTCAATAATTTTTCAAATCATTGATATTGATTTCCAGTCTCAGTGTTCCAGTCAAGAGCGTTTACACCAGCTTCCAAATATGCCAACCTCTGATGAATTGCATATGTTTTCCAAACATTTTTCATCCAATGACAGTACCCATAGTGCGGAAGAAGATAACATAATTTACCGTAAACCCCGTTTCAATCGACCACGTTCAAGAAGCTTAAGGTTAATAATCGGTCTATTAAATTTGTGTAAGTATAAGCATTTTTTTTTTTAACATTTGGCTTTGTTGCAGCAGTCCGAGCAGATCGCCAGTTCTTGATAATGATATTGTTATGATGAATGTGCTTTATAAAGATAGGTTTCCCAAGGTAAAGTTTAATCTTGGATCTTAAGTATTTAACTTTGATATGTTGTAGTAATTACATACAATTATGCATTAATTTAGGCTACTCATCAGATGGAAGAACGCTTAAGCATGTTTATAAATGAATATGAAAAACTTAATTTAGAACACATAGAAATATCAGCAGATGCTGTACCTATTGTTAGATTTGTTAATCATCAAGTGTTGGAGATAGCTAGAGATTGCTTAAAAAAATCTGAAGAAAAATTAATAACCAGAGGTTATTTTTATGAAATGTCTGAAAACTTGGAGTTATTGTTGGCTGAGGTATGTTGTGTAAAAAAAAAAAAAAATGTTTAACATTAAATAAAAAAACATTTGTTTTTATTACAGGCGAGAGAAAAGTCTGAAGAAGCCACTGCACTACTGACAGGAACAATGAAAAAATTGTTATTAATAATATCTAGACCGGCTAGGTTACTCGAGTGCTTAGAATTTGATCCTGAAGAATTTTATCATCTGTTAGAACAAGCTGAAGGTCAAGCTAAAATCTGTCAAGGTATTAAGGATGAAATACCACAATATATAATAGGAAAATTAGGATTAAATCGTAACTCAGTTGATGGTATGTATATATTTATTTTTTTCAATTTTTAGATAATGTATTTTTCATAACTTATTTACAGTATTTCTATATATTTTTTAGATATTGATGTGAACTTTCACAAATTAGATGAATATTCCTCGTCTTTAATAAAAAAGACTCAACAACAAAGTACCAAAAAAGATACATTTTCTTCTGTAAGTAAATATTAATTACCTATTATTATTTCTTAAATTTTTTTATAATTTGTTGATTAATTTTTAGCCACCTTCAGAAGTTGATTTTGATGTAATTAAATTGATTTCGAATGGTGCATATGGCGCTGTGTATCTCGTAAGACATAAACAAACTCGTCAAAGATTTGCAATGAAGAAAATTATTAAGAATAATTTAATGTTACGCAATCAAATTGAACAAGTATTCGCCGAGCGGGATATCATGAGTTTTACTGACAACCCATTTGTGGTCACCATGTACTGCAGTTTTGAAACAAGGGTAAGTGCTTGTAAATTAAAACATGAACTATATCAAAATATATTTATTATTTTGTTGTGTATCTAGAAACATCTTTGTCTTGTAATGGAATATGTCGAAGGAGGCGATTGTGCATCTCTTTTGAAAAATATTGGCCCTCTACCACCAGATATGGCAAAATTTTATTTCGCTGAAACTGTACTTGCCGTAGAATACCTTCACAATTACGGTATTGTGCATCGTGACTTAAAACCTGACAAGTATACAATAAATTTCTTTTTTTAAAAAATCTTTTTTTAATATTTAAATTTAAATTTATTTTTGTTTTATTTTTTCAGTCTTCTAATTACTGCATTAGGCCATATAAAACTGACTGATTTTGGATTAAGTAAAATGGGTTTGATGTCATGTAAGAAATTTACTAACCAACTTTTGCAATAATAATTGTTTCAATTAGTATTAATAGATATAATATTTTTATTGTTATAGTGGCAACTAATTTATATGAAGTACATGTGGATAGAGATACACGACAATTTTCTGACAAGCAAGTTTTTGGTACACCTGAGTATATAGCCCCAGAAGTAATCCTAAGGTATGTATAGGATGTAGGTATATATAAATAAGACAATGATTTGCACACTTTTCATATTATTTATTAAGAAAATATATCCAATTATCATTATTTTAAAATGTATATTAAAATTTACAGAAATATTATTTATTTTCAGACAAGGTTATGGGAAACCAGTAGATTGGTGGTCTATGGGAATAATATTGTATGAATTTTTGGTAGGGTGTGTACCATTTTTTGGTGAAACACCCGAAGAACTTTTTGCTCATACTGTAAATGGTAAATATAATTTAATTGATGTTATAATATTGATTTAATTTCTCAATTAAAAATTATGTTTATTATAGATGATATTGAATGGCCAGATGAAAACGAATGGCCAATTCAGCCAGAGGCCAAAAACATAATATCGTCATTACTGCAACAAAATCCTAGAGATCGATTGGGTACTGGTGGATCACATGAAGTCAAAGATCATCCTTATTTCTATGGAGTTGATTGGAATTCATTATTGAGACAAAAAGCCGAGTTTATGCCACAATTAGGCAATGAAGAAGATACTAGTTATTTTGATTGTAAGAATGACGTATAATTATGTCAAATATTATACTTATTTTAAATTAATACTAAATTGTATTATTTCAGCCAGAAGTGATCGTTATAGCCATGAAATTGATGAGGATACAGATGATGACTCATTGATTTTGGGTACATTTTCATCTTGTTCGCCTCAATTCAAAAAAGTAGCAAGTAAATTGTCAATGAGCAATGAATATCCATCATTATCCCCTTCAGTTAACTATAAAGATGATTCTTTATCTATCAATACTGGTAAGAAATCATATGTTTCTCTGTTATTATTTGGTTGTAGATATAATTAATGATGTGTATTACTGTAGTATACATTTTGTTTGATTGTTTATTTACTTTTAATTGGAATATTTTATTTTAGGAATGTTTGACACATCAGCGTCAGAAGGAGAAACAGTTGATGAAAGTTTAAAATCACCTGTTGCCAAGAAAACAACTATTGACAAATCACAAAATGAAGACAATGAATCAAATACTCAAATCAGTCGTAGGCGGCGCTTATATAGTAAAGAAAGTATACCAAAATTCTCGATTTCAATTGAAGATGACAGATCTCCGTAAGGCTTTAATGTTATTTATCATACTCTTGTACTGAATAATGAAATATAGAAAATATTTTTCTTATTTTATTTTTTCGCTTTAAAAATACGATTTTAAGTGGAAGAATAATATATACGTATACTATGTATAAAACGATTATTATTTACCCAAGACGTAAAAGTTTCAAAGCATGACTATTATAATATAATAGTCTTTAATAATGAAATATCTAAATAATTTAGTTAATGATCATTCATAAAAAAAAAAAAAAAAACATTAATTTTTGTTTTATCATTAGTGTTTTTGCCCTAAAAATAAATGTCACTCTTGTGGATTGGGGATTATTATTATTTTGAAATTTATATTTAATAACAGAATATGATTTCTATCTTCTATTTCTAGTATAATTTGATTCAATTTTTTTTACCTAATACAAAGCATTGAACAATAATATTATGTGAACATTATCAAATTTGGTTTTTCAAATAATCAAATGATATACCAAGATTCACTTTGAAATAAAAAACATTTCCCGAGTGTTAACTTTATCATTGTTCTATATTTTGAATTTTCGTACAACACAATAAATATAACTGTTCAATTGATCAATTTATTTCAAGGTTTCACACTTTTTAAACTTAAATTGTACTTTAAGTTTATGGTATCTCAAAAACCAGTTATGAAATAACATTTTTTTTATGTATTAACACGTTGACTGCGTATGTCTTTTTGCAGTTTTCCCCCAGTGCGTATGATAAAAGTAAAAACAAAAAAAATTAAAAAAAAAATATAAAGAAACTGCTCATAACGATGTATGTATACATATTTAAAAACATGCGTTTAATCCACGCTAAATAATAATAAAATAACATTCAGCCACGCGTAGGGAATTTTAAACCATTTATTTTAAATGTATATTAGACGCCATATGGCGTCAAACGCGTTGCTGAATGATACTTATGACGCCAATTGGCGTCAGTACGCAGTGAACGTGTTAAATAATTTTTAGTGTTGAATTTATGATTGGTATAAACTATGATCGTTAGCTACAATAAATATTATTTAAAGTTTATTAAACCATCATCCTTCAATTTTCTTACTTTAAATATCAAAATAATTGTAATCGTACTAACAATATAATAACTATTAATTTAATGCATAATAAATGTATAAATAAACTACAATTGATTAAAAAAATTAAAAATCAATAAAAATAAAATATTATATTGATCTTTAAATTTGAATGAATACTATCCATATAAATTTTCAAATACATACAATTATCAATATTACTGGGTACTCTAACATTACCTAAACAATTAATGTTTATATTTTCATCAAATATGTTTACAAGTAAGGTCGCTTTCTTTTTGAATCTTATTCTTAAATAGGTACAATAGAAGTAGTTTTTATCACCGCATTATATTTAATAATATATTTAATTTATAAAGGTATTGAATAAAATACTCCTTTAGATCCATTATTTTATCTTAGATCATACATATCACAGTGAAATTACCAAGTTTTAGTTTTTGTATAACTGAAATAATTTTGTATAGGCATTTAACTTGCAGCATTTAACAACTACATTTATGAAGCTTACAAATGTTAAAAGTGCACTACTTGTTAAAAGCTATCCAAAATATAGTTTGTGTGTATTATTCTGTTCAAATTTGATAAATATATATTTTTGGGTTTTTGGGCCTTTCATTGAGTAAAAAAATCCATTTCCTTCATCTCTCTGTCTTCTGCTTCCTCCCCCTGTTGGCTCTTGGGTTTATTGCTTTCATATCTCTCTCCATACAGTTTTCCCATCGTAGGCGAGGCCGGCCTTTCAGTCTTTATACCATTGGATTCTCCTTAATTATTAATTTTATCGTTGTGCCATTGTTTCACCAGACATAGCCGGCCCATGTAAAATTGCTTTTCACGATACACTGGTTTTACATGGCCTTTAGAACAGGTATCTCAACCGGTTTGTAGATGAAGATATGGGGCATATATCTGCCTTAATACTTTTCTTTTAAATATTTCCAGTCTTTCTTCTGTATTTCTTAACGCCCATGTTTGGAGCCATATATGATGATTGGACATATTAACACATTCGTTGCGTTTGTCGGCTATATCCGACGGACTGGTTTTTTCACGGTACGTCTGTCGGATATAGCCGACATAAGGTCCTTTGAATTAAATGTGCTATAAAATAGAGGCGCACTAGAGTAATGTTTTTTTTTTACACACGCTTCTGCATAGAAATTTCTTGTTATTTCAGTCCAATCCATTTATAAATAACTTATTTTGTTGATTTTTCCGACACTAATTAAAATGTCCGAATTGGTGGCACGCTCCTAGCGAACATCGATATATTTTGTGACACATCTAACGTGTCCCAACTAATTATTTTACGCAGTGAATGTGTTAATGTCATATACATAAACATTTTTAAGTTTTCAGAGATAGTTCTGGATTTTTTCAGCTCCAAAATATAATTTGGATGTAAGTTGTATTTTTCTCAATACCTCCGCTTTTAACTCATTGTCTTGGGTTATGAGAACTCCTAAGTACTTAAATTGTGGTACTCTATAGAAGATAGAGTACCATATAGTCCTCTTACTTCTACACTCTCTGTAATCATCCTATAGGCTAAGTTTAGCAAGTATTCAATTTTAATATAATATATATATTCAAATTGCTTTTCTGCAGATGTAGTCACATTTTGTAATTAATAAAACTGTGAAGAGGTATTTTTTCATTGGTTTAATCAACCACACAGTGAATGCACATCAAATAATATAATATATAATATACTGATATAATTATTTTTAAAGAGGTGTTATCTAGGATTAAATGAAGAACTTAGTACTCTAAATATTATTAATTAAAATTTTTATCACATGTTTTAAAATTAGATAATATTCATATTTTGTCATACACAAGTATATTTAAAGTTTATTTTCAAATGTAAATTATTAGTGATAATTTATTAGCTATTTATCTAATCTAAGCACACTTGAAATTTATTTTTTAGAGTAGGTATTAATTATTTAGTCGCAATTCACTGATTTTTTTTTATGCATATCAATAATAATTATTTTTCTTTAATCATTTATACTTATAGTTTAATATTAAGAAAATTTATAAATTTATAAATTTGCAAAATTTTAAGTGAATGCTAAATTACCTTTAAGAAACTAACTTAATACAAATTAATATACAATTGTTTTGAATACAAAATTTGAATAAACAAATTATTCTGTAAAAAGTTCATATTAATTTAATTTACATATTTTATTTTATTTTTTATAACGATTGGTTAAACATCTGGATTTTAATTTTACCATTTAGATTTTAACCCTGTTTAATAATATTCTAGCAGTAACATCTTTGAATAGTTGAATAATATAATAGTAGTAATGTATACAGATTAAATATCCTTTGATTTGATTCATTTTATCTTCTAATAATTTTCTTAGGTACATTATTCTTTACATTAATGTAGTAATAATTTGTATACTGTTAAATTATAGGTGAGTTTAATATTATCTTCCTTTAATTGTTCGGTGAAATCTGTAAACATAATATTAAATCACATACAATTGTTATTTATACATTATATTATTTTATATAATTTGAATTGAAAAATAAACAACTGAAAAAATATTAATTTGAATTAGTAGAAGATATGAGATATAACGTCTGTTTATTAATCTGTTTTACATACTATGTTATACAGTAAATTGTTGAAATTGTATTATGTACTGTTGCTTTTCCCTCTTCTGTTATTCATTATGTACTTAAACTTAATGATTTTCATTTTTTTTTCTGTAGTTTAAGTTGCCTGCTAAGTATTTAGTAGTCAGTTTTATTTATTTAAATTTCTTATACTCATAAATCTTAATAGCTTAAATTGAAAAATTTAAATGAACTTTAAAATATCTTAAACTATTACGTACACTGTACAGTCTTTAAATAAGTAGTTGTGTTAAATAAGTTTTTTTTTTTGAATTCTGTGTGTTAGTTTTTTGTTTTGACATTTATGTACTTTTATTTAAACTTCAGAACTCTATCATCTATGTCAAACATATATTCATTTTGGCAGTAGTGTTTTTTTTTTTTTTTTTTTTTAGTCAATTAGTTTAAATGAGGTGTCTATAACATAGTACAATAATGACGTTAAGTTATAATCAAATGCGTACCAACATTATACTAAAAAAAAAATTATTATTATTATTAGTGCTAATATAATTGTTAGATTATAACGTATAACACTTATAAACTTTTTAAAACAATTACATATTGAAAAAAGTGTCTCGAGAGTCAAGCATTATTTTGTTTTTAGTTATTTTTATAATAATATTCTATCCATAAATAATTTCAAGTATTTAAACAGATTGGCTACAAAGTAAGAGAATAAGAGTTATGGTCTATTCACTGTAAGTGTTTGACACACCTACACAAGTAACAGATGTTCCACCAACATGCTATTAAGAATGATTGTATTCAAATTCTATTTTATATCTATCAAACCTAACCTAGGAAATTGAATACAAGCCTGCAATCCTCCACAGCCACATTTTGTCAAAATATATTAAGATTTATAAAATTATAAGTTGTGATTTTTTTATGATTATTTTTTTATACAATTTCTGGTTTATTGGAAACAGGTTAACTGGTTAACGTTTGTCTCACTTACAGTCACAACTTATTCAGTTTGATCTCTTTATTCATAAACAATTAAGCATTTTCCCATTAATTGGTTATTATAAAATGTATAAAGTTAATGTTTATAATTTAGAACACCTACATATTATATTTAATAAATTTAATTATTTTACATGGTGATACCTACATAAACAAGAATTATTTTTTTCTTTGGCTTTCTACACAAATATTTGAAGTTTTAATTTAAACTATATTAAACTCCACACTATCAATTTATTATATTAAAGTACAAACAAACATTTGTTTATAAAATAAAATTGTATTTTACTTGATGTGACTTTTTTCTTCTCGAACAATCTATCATTTTACTATCAGTGTAAGAGGTGATTAGATTATTTTAATTTATATTTGAATTCAATTATTCTTAAATACTGTAAAATAATTTCTTTTTACCTTATACTAAGTTGTATGCAAGAACTATTTTGTTGGATTTGAAAAAGTCTTGCTATGTCTTCAATAATGCATTACGTTAAATTATGTTTTTAGGCAACTAAGGAGTTTATCGGAAAACGAGTCTGATGATCCTTCATCAGAAAAAAAAGAGGAATTCCTAAGTTTACCTGTGACTGCTAATCTATGTCCCACTTTACCACCTTCACCAAGTACTTCAAGCATGTCGAAAAATCACAAAAGCAATACTCTTGGTGGTCAACGGGCAAGATCTGTCATTAAGAGTTTTTCAGCCACCGGATTGTCTCTGATGATACCGCCTGGTTTGTATACAATTATTAGTGAAAATTATTGTAAAGTAAACAATTTAGTTTTTACTTACTTTTTGTTCTAGAATCCAGTAACAATGGAATGCAAATGAAGTCCCCAGGATCGTGTAGTGCATTGAACTCACCTTGTCGTGATGTACCTTTAATCACCAGCTTAAAGCCACCAATTATATTGCGCAGAGGTCCTTCTGGCTTTGGGTTTACAGTTAATACTATTCGTGTATACTTCGGAGATAGTGATTTCTATACTATGCACCATTTAGTAATGGTATGTAAATGTATTTGTCAAAACATTTATCTATATAATATGTTATCTGCTTATAAGCTGTATGCAATTAAATATAATTCATTAAAAAACCACTTGTAAGTCCCAATATATCTCAGTTTTTATATATTAGTATTCAATATGCCTTTCACAACTTGAGAACACTGTTTCTCTTGAGTGTATTTTCAATGAGTTTAAAGTGATTATACATACATACGTAATCAAATACTATAATATTTATGATTAAATTGGTTAGTAAATTTTGAATTGTATACCTATTACATAGATATTTAGCAATGGCCATAATTTTTAAATGGACATTTTGTAATGTATATTATACTATACTATTTCATAAAACAAACAAAAAAAAGTTTTTTGAAAATGCACACTAAACTAAAGTTAAACATTTTAGAAGCTATTAAAAATAAATCTTACAAGTTTTACCAAAAATAAAAGATTGCTCATATTACTATACCACCTTATCAAGCAATTTTATCATTTCGATTTTTAATTGTTGACAACTTTATTAATGCAAGATTTAAGTGTTTGTTAAACTTCAAACTATGAATAGTTGTTACTTGTTTCCAAAAATATTTATTCACGCATTTAAATTTGTATTCAAAGTTATCTCTTAATCAGGAATTAAATTCATCTTAATAATTTGTGTATGCTACATGTTCATCATATTGATAAGTTTGGCTACAAAATGAGAACTATTGGTTTTGCTGTAATTAGTATGTAATAAGTAGAGGCAACCAAATGTACATTTATATTATACTCACTTTAAAGTTTAAATTAAAAACATTTTTTTTAAACTGTCTTTAGAATCTAAGGAATGTATATGATTGCATACTAAACAAGAACATAGAAATATTAAAATTAATTTAGATATTTTGTGTTATTAAAGAGTTACTCTTTGGCAAAGTGTTACTTAATGAGTATAAGTAAACATAATTTTTTTTTTTACAATCAATTACTACATTTATATGATGGCATTAAAACGGTTTAAAACTAAACCGTTTTGAAAGTTAAAACGCTTGCGCTATGTAGTTTAAGAACTTAAAACCATTTTATTTACTTAAACTTGTATATGTACATGTACATTTAATAAACCGGTTTATGCAAATAAAACGGTTTTAAGTTCTTAAACTACATAGCGCGAGCGTTTTAACTTTCAAAACGGTTTAGTTTTAAACCATTTTAACGCCATCATATAAACGTAGTAAATGAAAGTTAGATTTTGTTTATATTTTTAACTTCTCAGTTTTAGAGTCTAATACAATATAATTTATAAATTACATGTGAATATTGAATGTGAGTATGATATTAAATATTCAAGAACGCTTAATTAATTTATAACCTGGAATGGAATGTTAAAAATTTCTTTTATGGCCAAGCCATATTTTTTTCTCTAAAGCATGTGATATCAAGTACTTAATATGTTTGCTATAATCTATAAAATTACGTTTTATAGTTTTGCGCAGTTAATGTGTTTCTCATTACTTAAATAAATGTGTGTTTTAAGTATGTGGTATATGAGTAAATCTTGTTCAACTCTGAATCTTCTCAATGTATTTATGTCCTGCTTGTCGAAAGGGTTCCAAAATTGCAATAATATAATATTTTATGCGATGTGTTCAACGAAACATGCATATGCTTAAATAGGAGGGGAGGTGGAATATAAATCTTTCTGTATGTGTATTGGTAATATTTTAGCTTTTGGCTGGCATAATATTATGAATCATTATAATTATTATTAACGGGTACAATGTAAATGTTGAATAGGCAGTGGATTCGGGAAGTCCTGCTTTCGAGGCAGGTCTGAGCCCCGGGGACTTGATTACACACGTCAACGGAGAACAAGTCCAGGGGATGAACCACACACAAGTGTTACAGTTGCTGTTGTCCGGCGGCGACAAGGCTACCCTGCGGTCCACGCCGCTAGAGTTCACGACCATCAAGACGGGTGGACGGCGCCGGGAACCTGGCCAGAGCAAGTTGGCGTCGAATGCCAGGCACAGAGGCCTTGGGTTTGCGCACCACTCTCACCGGCATAAGAGATCTCAACGTAAGGACATACCGGCTGGCGAGAGCAGGCGCCGACAAAAGTCGTCGCTGTTCCGGCGAATCAGCACCAAGTGCACACCCGACTATCAGCAGGTACGTAAATGGCGGATACGAACGTGTTTAATAACGGATGATGGAGCATTTGATTGGATTTTTAACAATATTTTATCTTGGCGTTGGCCTGAAAATAATCTTTCTAATTTTGATGTTTTTAACAGAAGCCTACTACCTATCTTTCATTGTCATTAATAACAATTTTTAATATCGGATGTAATTTCAATACTGTAACTAGCTTTAATTGGGTAGTAGTATTCACCAAAAAATATTAGGGACCCAACTAGTGTAGCAATTTTAAATTCAGGAACTAACTCTGATGCAGCCAAAATTATACATTGCCCAGTCTAGCTGGGTTAATTAAGCTAAAATGGCTAAAACAAATTACAAAACTTTTAATACAATGCTACATTGCACAAATAGTAATATAACTACATACTCATATGTTACGTATATGTTTCAATGGTTGTACATTTGCAATAATGTAATTGTACAAATGTACAAAATCTTAAATTACAAATATAACAATTTCAATATTATAATATTAAAAGTTAAAACGGATTTAACTTGTCATTAAATATATAATATAAAATATAAATATATATATAATATATAATATTTAATATTTAACCTATATGCATTTTTAAATTATTTTTAGAAGCCATATTGATAATTTTTTAGATAAAATCATAGACTTTAGATAATATAATATAATATATTCTATTATATGTCTATGGATAAAATAATCCAGACACAGAGATAATTTATTAGATAATATTGACTTAGGTAGTTGATGGAGGTACCTGTGTATTATACTATTTATAATATGATATAGAAACAGAAAAAGTGAGCAATAAATAATTATTTCATGTTGCCTCATATTATAGTTGTACCGTATTGCATTGCCCGTAAAATAATTTATAATATTAATTTCAAATCGATATTATTACAATGCAAAGTTGATTGTTATACTACTTTTTATATCCAAATAATATTTGAAGTAACAACCGCTACCACTACACACCCCTACGTACGTTCCCCATATTTATTATGCTTATGAACGTAGCCACGTAGGGTTTAAGTTTTTAAACTGATTAAAATCATAAAAATGCGCAGTAGTATTTGTATATTTCTTCAGTTACGTGCTCTGTGTAGTGATATTTATGGTCTGTCGTTGTTTGTTCGCAGCTGACCATCATGGGAAACCGATCGCCGGCTGTCGGAGGCGTCGCGCAGGACTCGGCGGCGGCCGTGGCTTCGTCAACGTCCGCGGACTACTCGTCTTCGACCAGTTCTTCAAGCTCGTCTGCCAACTCGTCGCCGACGGTGACGCCCAACTCGCCCACGCCGTACCAGCGGCCGTCCACGCTGCACGGGCTGAAGCACAAGCTGCACTCGGCCACCAAAAACCTACACTCGCCGAACCGGCGCAAGTCCGTCGGCCATATACCACTGTCGCCGCTTGCTCGGACCCCGTCGCCGTCGCCGCTACCGCAGTCTCCCACCCGGTCGCCCAGCCCGCTGACTTTCTCGTCTGGCCACCAGCCCGGAAGCTCTAATACCACGCAGTCGTACAGCCCGTCGTCGCTGACGTCGTCCAATCCAGGGGCGGCGGGAGCCGGTGGCGTGGCCGTGTCTGGGTGTGGGGCGACGGCCGGCGTTGGAGGTATCGGCGGCCCGTCAGGCTGTTGCATCAGTGCCGTCAGTGGTGGCGCTGTAGTCGTCGTCAAGAAGACGGCTGGCTCGTCGTTCGGCCGGCCGTGCAAGACGTCGGAACCGGGGTCGCCACTGTTGCGCCGTGCGCTGTCGCCCGACCGGTTGCACCCACGTACCGCCGAGACCAAGTCCAATTCCATTTCGCCGCTATGCGACCCCGCGCTCAAGGTGACCACGCACCATGCGCCCCGCGTCACGGTCACCACCAAGTCGCCGCCGATGTGTGCGCGCGGACCCGGCGCCGCGGCTGCCAACTCACCGCTGTCCAAGACCTGCACTACCACCACCACTACCACGCCGACGACGAAAATATTACAAAACAATTCGGCGGCTTCGACACCCGCCGATGAGAAGAAGGCCGCCGTCGTTCCGGTGACCAGTAGTAAAAACGAACAGCCGCCGTCGTCACAGGTGAACAAAATGTTCTTGGCGGATGTCGGCAGTGGCGGCGGTGGTCACGTGTCGTTGCCTCGTATAGCCGAAGAAAGAGATCATCTGCAGCAGAATAATCTTCATCATCATCATCATCACCATCATAATCATCAGCTGGTGCAGCCAGCTGTCGCAGCCGTTGCCGTAGTCGACAGGCCGAAACCCGCGAAATCCGCTAACGGCGGCTGCAGGTATTTCTTCAACAGGAAATACAAACAACAGAGGGAACAGCAACAGCAGCAGCAGCAGCAGCAGCCTCAACCGCAGACGCCGTCTTGTTGTAAGCCCGACGAGGCGTGCAAGACCGGCGCCACCGGTAGACACAGTACGACGAACGATGCGTTGCCGCCGTCCACGCCGTCCACTCATCAACCTTGAGTGGTTACGGCGGCCGACGGACAACGACGACCACTTACCGGTCGACGGCCGCTCGATCTCTTCCGCCCACGACTGTGACTCATTTTATTCTTTACTCCGAGGCTCTTGACTCTTAGCCCTCCCCTCCCTAAAACGGCCTTTTGCGATTGATTATTATCATCATCATTCATATTATAAATATCCTTTATAGACGAGGTTACTACTGTAACGAGGTTAAAACTGTAGGTATGTTTTTGTTGAATTTTTTTTTATATAATTTATATATATATATAGTTTATGTTTTGATCATTATTTTCCGCGCTATCGAGAACGCCGCCGCTTTTGTCACCGTAGACAGAGTAAATGTCATAGGACTGTACCTGTAGATAAATACTCGTAATTATAATAACCACTGTTTTATCAAATAATGTACGTATACATTCGTCGGCAATATTATTGTTATTTCACATCTGCGACCAATCCGAAACGATTTAAATGTATGATATCCGTTCACTACTGCAACGATGCTCTGTATTTCACTATTGACTATTGTTTAGGAACAATTTTAATAATTTCAGTTACATCGGTTTTGGTCTGGGCGAATATATTTCTTTCAAATATACTTCGACTTCGTTTTATACGACCTACGAGTGGGCGCGTGTGCCCGTGGTACGTTGATGTATCACGCAATTAGATATTTGTACTTAGTTAAGTGATTGTGTGTTTTCATCCGAGTTCGATTATCGTACATGTTAATTATAGGTATTTATACTACCTATGCGTTGTGTGTTAGTTTGTGTTTGTGTTTATGGATCGTGTGTGTGTAATATTATTGAATGTAATAAATGCCACACTCGATGCTCGATTAGTATTAGTGAAAACTGTGAACTGATTGCGTTTTCGGTATTACTCAATCTAGAGTTATTTATTTGTGATATTTTGTGATAGATATACAATGCCCAAACATAATGTTTTTTTATAATTTTCGTCTTTAATAATATTAAGTAAGTAGGTAGGTACTAGGTAGGTAGGTAATAGGTATGTAGTTTCCAAACACGTCATCATAGAAACCCATTAAATTTTATTATTCATAATATATTACTTTATTTACTATAATATAACCATCACTTTAGGTTTATATGTATATATAATATATGTATGTACGATATATATATATAGTATATATAATACACACACAATATACATATATAATAACCTATATTTTATTTATAATGTATTTTTTTCTATTTTCATCCAAATAATTTAATAATCAAACTCTTTTTAGTATTCTATTCGTAAAAATCCTTCAACGGTGATAGTTATAAGTATACGTCAGGTTTATTATTTTTTTCCATATTGCGTACATTGTATTTGAAATTTAAATTTAAAGAATTGTAAATCGTTTTAAAAGACTGGAGATTCATTAATCATATTTGTATAATTTAAACATTGCACTCTATTATGAGCAAAATATTTATTTTTGTTTTTTAATATAATATTTATCAGCAATTCGTCATCCTGGATGTAAAACGATTTGTATTTAGTATCGTTCTAAACGGTTTTATATTTATCAATATTAAGATAACATGTTTTAAATATTATATTTAATCAATTTTTCTATTAAAAAAGTAAGTATATTAGGAAATAATTTGTAATAAGAGTGCCAATCGCAATTTTAGAATTCTTTTTTGCAATAAGTCAACCAATTTGTTCAACGCGTGAGAATGTGTTTTTTCTTTGTAATTTTAGTTTTAAGGCTCGTTAATAAGCCAAAGTCTTGTTATGTTCTGTTATGATACGTCGTTTATGAAAAATGTTCGAAAGCACATCCGCAACACTCGTTTCGATATTAAACTCGTCACATTTTTCTTAGGCGGTTCGTTATATCTGTTTTAAATTTATATTTTATTTTTGCTTTCTTCCTTTCTTCCTATCATGTGTCTACCCTAAATTATCGTTAATGTAAAACATTATGACCGTGTTATTATATTTTATTGTCATCGGTTTTCCTGCGTTTCGTGACGCCATCGGAGCTCAAAAGGTAAATGTTAAAAAAAAAACAAATACCAAAAAATTATTTATTTATTAACTTTAATTATTATTAACAATTGTTTGCGCGGTGACGGTGCATGCTATACACCGACACTTAGTATAATAGCATAGGTACAATAATGTTTTACATTTTACGATTATTCGCTGTGCCTCATGTCCCAGCCCTTTCTTGTTTTTATTTTATTTATTTTCTTCTTTTACTTTACGTTTTTTCTTGTTAATATTACAGTAAAACTTTCATATTACGAAGTCTCATGGAGCATAAAAAAATCGTATTATATAGAATTTCGTTAAATATAATTGAATAAATTTGGTTCTGATTTGGTTTGGTTCTCAAAAATATTGATGTTAAAATATTAACATCAACAAAAAAATTTTGTTAAATGGAAGTTCGTTGTATGGAAGTTTCACTGTATAATATATTTAAATATTTCGCGAATGCAATTTATCATTATAGGTGTTCCATGTTTATTACAATTTATCTTCTATTAGATCATATATTTTGTAATAATATTAATACTAATAATAATAATAATAATAAATATTATCATCGTCCTGTAATGGGTCGAACTTTCCGTCATGTCTACCGTCCGTTGGTATTGTTTTTCTTACATCACGGTACTTTTAAAATCGCGATCGGGTAGGGTTTTCTTTTTTTTCATTCCCCAAATACATAATACCACAATTTTAGCGCGTGCTTATCTACGAGAATCGCGTTTCTCTACTAGATGTGCATAATACGCGTTCGCTTCCCAAACCCCCTGTTTGATTTAAATTTATTTATTATTACTATTTTTAAGGTAATGTTTCGGTTTTCCTTTTTTAGATAGATATATGTCATAATTGTTATTTTATTATTTATTATTATTTTTTTTTTTTTTTAACATTTTCAATGTACAAAATAGTTGATAAATTGTATCTAATCAATAAACTTATTTTTTTTAACTTGTTTCTTATTATTTTTATTATGTAGACATCTACAACAATCCTGTCTATTGGTTAGGTATTATATATGTAAATATGTTCAAGACTATAGAAATATGTTTTTCAAGTTTTGAACTTTTATTTCATATATTTTTTTATTATTATTATCATTACTAAAATATTAAATACCTACAATAATATAATAATTGTAGAACTTTTATTAACTTTACTAGTTGATAAATAGTAAATACACCTAACAATTAACATAGGTAATGACATACGGTTTAACTACATCTCATATGATATTATTATTATTATTATAATATTATCTCCAATACACATTTTGCATATTTACGTCATATATAGAAAATACAATATTGTAGGTAAATTGTTGCCTGGCAGTCGGTATTAACGATAGTAATGACTCTAAATGGCTGGATTGCTTGAAATTTCTTTTTTAGGAAAAACCTTATCTATTTTTTGATTTATATAAGTAGGTGTACGTATTTTCAAGTATTAATTTTAAATTTAAAAATAAATATACATAATTATATCATTACTATATTTAAAAAACAAAATATCCGTAACGACAATACCGTTGAATACGTCATTTTACTTGTATTAATTATATTTTCTTGTACACTGGTCAGTGGTCACCCTTATTTTTATTTTTGATGCAATTTCTGTATTTTTTAGTGCTGAAAACGATGGTCCAAGAATGGTCAGAACTCAGAATTCAACGATCGGCTTTAGTTTTAGCAAAAGCAAATTTAAAATTAGCCCGTAGATAAGTAGATAGTAGTTGGTACCTATAGGCTATAGCTACTCTATACGTTGTAATGACTTAAGTCATATTAAAATGTCCACAAAGTTTGATTTCGTCCCATTGATTCGAAAAATATGTCAATTGAAAATAACGACAAACTGGTTTTTAGAATCCACAAATAAGTCATTAAAATATTATAGGTACCAAGCCAAAAACTAACTAGTTAAATTTACAACAACTGTAGATTTTGTGCCAAGAGACTATTGATATTTTGGAATTATATATAAAATAAATTGTAACACGTGTCCCGTAATTAACGAACAACCTATACCTATACCTATTGGAAATATTTTAAAAACTTGAGTTTCAAAAAATGGTTTACCTAGTGTACACTGTTTAGACAGTGTTGATGATGTTAGGAGTTTCTAATTGAAATGTATTAAAAAAAAGTAATTCCAAACGGGTCGCCTAAATATTTTGAAAGTGCATTTTTATTTTTAAATTGAGAACCACTGGCAATTTTCCAAACGCACTCGAGTATTATGTCCTCGTAAATACCTACTTATTTACTCATGTGAACATTACCGAGTGGATAAGATCGTAATCAAACCTATATTATAAAAGTGCAGATAACACAGGAATTTCGGTGTAAAAATTAAAAAATTGTAATCGTGTGTAGTTCGCAATAATTCGTGTTTAAAATACGAAAAAATAAAATTATTTAATTAATAATTTATCTGTTGTTTTTTACTTGCGTCCAGTTGTTGACAACAATATTAACAACATACTTTATTATAGGTACTTAAAGGTCACATTTACACGGTTTTGTTTCGATGACTAACGACTTGACATTTGTGTACGATATTTTATAGGTGCGACAATAATACGACAATAATATCAAGATTCGAGTTTGTTGTGATATTTCGGTTTATAATATTATATTATTATAGATTATAATGCCTAATGGCTAATATGGTTATTAATGTTAAGTATTTTTGTTTTAATTCTACCTTGATCCATGCACGAGTTCTCTGAGTGCAAACTGCAAAGCTAGGAATAAACCCTTAGAAAATTGATTTTTCATCTCTTAAATCCAAATTTATTAAGAATTCTAGTTTCCTATATTATGCAATATGCATATTATATAATTTGAAAAATCAACATCAAATATCTAAAAACTCATGAATTTAATATTATTTATGCAATTGGCATAGAATTTATATACAAAATATTATCATCGACTGTGTGCGTCGTGCTCATGTATGATAATATTGTATTG